TAATTTTATATTAATTATAAGCAGTTTGGCTATTACCTCAGCTTATTATAGCTCTTATAACTTAAATTAACCCATGATTCTTATCTACGTTTAGCCATGTGGATTGGACCTTACTCAGTGAGGCATTCTCATCTTGCTTACTCTGCATCTGGGTAATGACTGCAGACTGAGCTTTTCCTCTTCCCAGAATTCTCCTAATCTGGTCTCCCTGCCTATACTTCTGGCCTGGCTACTGGCCAATCAGCATTTTATTAAACCAATACAAGTAACAGACCTTTACAGGGTACAAGAGCATTATCATACAGTACTTGTTAATATTGAACTCTTACATTTTAAATTAACACATTTTTTTTATCTACACTTTGTCAGGTAGCTTGGTACCTTTCCTCAGTACAGCATGCACATCTTGCTTTTCTCTGCATCTGTTTGTGACTCCTGACTCCTCCCTTCTTCTTCCCAGCATTCTCTGTTTGGCTCTCCCCCTAACCTTATTCTGTCCAGCTATTAACCAGTCAGCTTCTTTATTAAACCAGTCATAGTGAAATATATTCACCAGTATAAAGGAATATTTCACATTTCCCCCTTTTTGTCTAATTAAAAAGGAAGACTTTAACTTTAACATAGTAAAATTTATACAACAAAACAGTTATTAAGAATTACAGTTACAATATCCAGTCCACTTGTATCCAGTAAATTTGGCAAATTAAGAGAAAATACTCTATTATTTATCTTTGTGACTCTAAAGTTTTATATCTAATTTACTTTTTATCATAACTAAGGAAAACTTTAATTATGACCATCTAGTCTTCACTTCCATCAAAGACCCCAGAAGGGTGAAATGTTACCTAATGACAGGGACATTTGGTTGCCTAGACAGTCACCACAGGTTCTTCTGTAAAACTGAGGCATCTAACTTTGGCCTATAGGCAGGCCTAGTATTTCTGACAGACATTTCTGAGAAACAGGGGATTTTGATAAACTGTCCTATCTTGTCTTGGAAAAAATTTGCAGTCACCTTTTTGTGCTGCCCTGCTGGTCCAGTTTGGACAGTACGCTGTCAGCAATTGAGACAAGGGCAGTTTTTTTGTTTTGCCATAAAGAAAACAAACTCCATATGGCATTTCTTTGATGCCTATCATATTCTTTGAAGTAGATTGGTGCTGCAAGGAAAATATATGTCTTACTGTCATGAAAAGCCTTAGGTTATTAAACATATTAAATGTCATATTCTATAGGTTTTGAAGTGTTTGAAGACCATCTACCTCTCTAAATATATCTGTTTATGTCCCTGAAAACATACCTGACATGTCCATGGACAGTATAGACTGTCCATTGTACACAAGTCATCCAAATATGATTTTTTGTTTTATGTTTGAGTAGATAAAATATATATAATGAGTCTTATAGTTCTTCTAGGTTTATTGTTTGTAGCCAGAATTCTTAGAGGGTCTTCCTCGTTCAAACCTCATCATCCTTAAATCCATAGCCTTTCATTTCCTGTGGAAATAAAAACATAACCTCTTCCCCAAAGTAACACATCTTTTGACTTCCATTTTGAAGTCAAGACATTTATCAAATATATAGGTTGATTTAATCCAAAAGCTTTTATAATCCAGTGTCTCTTAGCAGCTATCTCTTCTTTCTCAGCAGTCAAAAAATTCAAAGACAACACAATAACATACAGTATCCAGACTGACTGTATATTTTTTATCTTTAAACATACCGTAACCCATTCAGAGGCTTTTTGGTGGGGGGAGGTCTGGATCTGTTTTTACACAGCATCTATATTGTTTTTTGATCGCATGAGACAAATCTTAAACAGCTACATTAGTTGCCACCAGTGCAGTTTAAGATAGTACATGGCAGCTGGTTCTTCCTGCAGGCAGCTGCCATAAGATAACCTCTCTGTATCTTGGCCCATGTGAGAGACTGCAGGAACCCATGATACAACTTAACTCTTGGTCTGCTGGCATGGCTCATGCTGGCAGCTCAAGCCCACACGCAGATACTGGCATCTCTGTACTGCAACTGGCATCAGAGGCACAAGACTAGAAAGCTGTGTTTGGCTTTATGTGCTTTTAGAACCTTCCCTTTTAGAACCTTTGTCAGGTTACACATGGAAATTCTGGCCTACACATTGGTCATCTTTCGTAGGCAGAATTTTCCTGTTTCTCGGCAGCAACTTCCCAAATAACTATTTACACTTAATATAAATTATAAATGAATGGTCAATAATTCAGGCTTATTAATAGCTAACTCTTACATTTTAAATTAACTCATATTTTTGATCTGCACTTTGCCATGTGGCTTGGTACCTTTCCTCAGTACAACTTGCCCATCTTGCTTCTCTCTGTGTCTGTTTGTGATTCCTGACTTCACCCTTCTTACCAGCATTCTCTGTTTGGGTCTCCCCCTAACCTTATTCTGTCCAACTGTTGACAAGTCAGCTTCTTTGTTAAACCAATCAGAGTGACATATATTCACATATTGTAAAGGAATTGCTTACAGTTTAGAGGTTTATTTCATTATCATCATGGCAGGGAGCATAATGGTACATACGTCCATAGGCAGATATAGTGCGGGAGAAGTAGCTGAGAGTTTTACATCTCTTTAGAGCTGCAGGCAGCAGGAGAGAACCACACTGTGGCTTGGGCCTTTGAAACTACAAAGGCCACCCCAGTGATTCACCTACAAGGCCACACCTACTCCAACAAGGTCACATTTCCTGATCCTTCTCAAATAGTGCCACTCCCTGATGACTAAGCATTTAAATATATGAGCCATGGGCCATTCTTATTCAAACCATCACACAGACCATACCTTCAGGAAGCTTTTAACCTTGTAGTCCACACATAAGCAAGCCTAGGGAGTATTGCCTGTATAGGTACTATTAGAGGAAAGGAGCATCCAGATTACTTAGGAGATGAGATGGTGTTAAAGATTGCCTAAGCTTGATTCTGTCTGTAAATGGAGAAGTTTGGCCTCAGGGTGCTTGTAAGAGGAAATACCTTTTACAAAGGCACTGAAACCATGGGTGCTCTGGAGAAACAGAATACAATGTAGCTTTGTAAGATGAAGCTAGAGAGGGGCAGAGGAGGGTCTTGGAAAGTCCTGGAGGGGACACCAGCGGCAAAGGAGAGGAGTAGTCTAGATAGGGTGAAGGTAGAGTTTGGGTCCAGTTGAGTCTGGTGATTATGAGACATTCAGATGGAGACATTGAAAAAACAATTTGGTATTTTTGAGGGAGATAGAACAAATAAAATAGGATATAGTAACGATTTGTGCATTGTGGCATGCCTGTAATCTTAGCACTAGAGAGACTGAAACAGGAGAGGAAGAGAATCAACAAAAGGCTTCAGCAGCAATTAGTTTGTGTGTGGTGGACAGATGCAAATTGGATTGCACAGTGGAGAAATGGATCTGGCCAGTTCATTTTAAAAATCTGTACTAAAGGTAATAGATACTTACTTACTCATTTTAAGCCACAGCATACACAAAGGTCAAATTATTTTTCATTCTTTGAAATTATAACACAATTCCCACCTTCTCTTTCCCCCCCTCAATCTCTATGCATGCCCCCTGCTCTCAAATTCATGACTTCTTTATCTTTAATTATTACTGCATGTGTGTATGTGTTCTTAAATATATAAATACAATCTGCTTAGTATATATAATGTTATCTGTATATGTATATGATCTCAGGGTGGTCCACTTGGTATTATATGGAGCTCTTCCTAGGGGAAGATCATTTCTCCTACGCTCAGCATTCCCCGGTTGCCCATAGCTCTTTGTCTAGAGTTGAGGCTCTCAAAGCTTTCCCCATTCCCTGTTAGTGTGACCATTGGTGTCATCATTGTGCAGATCTTTAGGCATTCATGTTGATGAGACTTAAGGGATGTAGCCTCTCTGACATTTCTAGGAGAAGCACTCTCAAAGCAAATTTCCTGTTCCTCTGGTTCTTATAATCTTTCCAGCCCCTCTTCTGAAATGAGCCCTGAGCCTTAGGTACAAGAATTGTGTTGTAACTGTATCAGTTGGGAATGGGCATCACTTGTCTTGTTCTCTACATTTTGATTAGTTGTGGGGTTTTTTTTATAATGGTTTCCATCAGTTGCAAAGAAAAGTTTCTTTGATGAGGAGTGAGAGGTATATTTACCTGTGAGTACAGGATAAATATTTAGAATGTAGAAGGGATTATGCTTGCTTAGTAAAATGGCAGGTGTAGATTCTCCAAGATCCATGACTTTAGCAGCTCCAGGTAGTTGGCTTCGTTTTCAGTACCGGGTATGACTTTTCCTTTTGTTGGCCAGGTCTTAAAATTAACAGGCTATTGGTTACTGCCAAGGTATGCATGCCACTATTGAACTATCAGGTTATTATGTCATGGTGGTCATTATTGTGGTTCATATGGGGAAATGCTATTAGTAAACAAACAAACCAAAAAAAGAGATGCTCAGCACATAAGGTGCTCACCTAACGAACTGAGTTTAATTGGAACCTACATCAAGGTAGAAGGAGAGAACTAACTGAAAATTATCCTCTTACCTCCACATGAGCACTTTTCTCATTCTTGTAAACATGCTTTTTCTCTTTGATGTAAACACATAATCAAAAACTCAGTTTGTTAAAAAAGAAAATAGTAAAGAGTGAACACAGATTGTAATGCCATTTCAGAAACTGTTCTGTTTCATATGTTGATATTATGGCACCAGAACCTCACACCTTAGGCAAGTGCACCAGGGAGATTCTCCCCAGCCTTTGCATTTCTGATCACAATTTGGCCTTTATTGAATGGATGTTCAGCACTTTGTGTTACAGTTTACTTTTTTTTTTTTTTTTTTTTTACTTTGAAAGAAGCCTTGAGGAAGACGTTTGCAAAGTTAGGCCACTGCCCACAAACTGTAAACGGAAGAGTGGATTCATAGGAAATTGCCTACTCTGCTACTTCTCTAGGCAGCTTAAGTTGTCTGTATGGTTCATTGCCAGTTTTTTCTTTTCAGGGTTTTGGCTCTTTGCACTGAATGTAACCTAGACTGATCGTCTCAGGCTTGTGTTGCCCCAGGATACTGTCAAAGGTAAGTTTTATCTTCAGTAATTCATTTCATTTTTTAAAAAAGGAAAGTATATAGGAAGACTTCTTTCTTGAATTCTTTTTTTAAAAGAAGATTTATTTAGGGGCTGAAGAGATGCTTCAGTGTTTTAAGAACCCTGGCTGCTCTTCCAGAGGACCTGGCTTCTGTTTCTTGCACCCACAGTCTGACTCATAACTGACTGTAACTCTAGTTGCAGGGACCTGATGCAATCTTCTCATCCCCTCTGGCACCAGGGACATATGTGGTATAGAGATGAACATGTAGGCAAACACTCTTACAGATTAGGGGGGGCGGGAAGAGATTAAAAAATAAATTTTATAATTCAGAATTTCTTTTGAAAATAGACTTAATTGTGTTTTGTGTTTTTGTTTTGTTTTCTTTTTTGAGACAATAGTCTCTCTACATAAACCTGGGTGTCCTGGAACTCACTATGTAGACTAGGCTGGCCTCGAACTCACAAGGACTTGTCTAGTGAGCCTCCTAAGTGCTCAGATTAAAGACATTTGCTACCATGCCTGACAATTCATTTTTATTTCTTGTATATGGGTGTTTTACCTGCATATGTGTCTGTTGTGCTAATGTATGTAGTGCTGGTGGAGGCTGTCTAATCCTCTGGAACTGGAGTTTGAGATGGCTATTAGCTGCCAGATGGGTTCTGGGAACCACACCTATGTCCTGCTATTAATACTGAGCCATCTCTGCAGCCCCGAATTTTCTACATCCTTTTAGAAATGCAAATATGTTCATAGTTTCAGCTTTTTGCATTCTTGTTTTAGCTGTTTCTTTTAAAATACACTAGTACTGAGACTGGGATGTAGCTCAGTTGTAGAGTGCTTGCCTACAATGCCTGATGCCCAAATTGGTCCCTAATACCACACACATAAACACAAAATGTACTGGCATTCAGATTGATACTGATATTTGATTCATTTTGTGTGAAGTTAGTTATTAGGATTAGCAACTGAAGATTTAAGTGGGCAGTCCTTACTGCTCCAGCCCACATTTGTCTACTAAAAGAGATTTAACAAGTCACTTTGCTGAATCTGCTCCTGTGGCCTATAGACCCCTTCAAAACTTAATTTCAGGGAGCTGGCTCAGAGGTTAAGAACACTGACTGTTCTTCCAGAGGACCTGAGTTCAATTTTTAGCAACCACATAGTGGCTCACAACCATCTATAATGACATCCCTGGTGCCCTCTTATGGCATGTGTATAATAAATAAATAGATAGATAAATGGATAAATAAAACAAAACTTAATTTCAGTCTTTCAGTCAGTATTGTTTAATACAGAATTCCTGTTGACAGAAGTTTCTGTCCTGCCTGGTTCAGCCATTCAGTCCCAAAGAAACACACATTAATTATTAACTGGTTGGCCTATTAACTCAGGCTTCTTACTCTTTTTTTTTTTCTTTTTTTTTAAATTTATTTATTTATTAAGGATTTCTGCCTCCTCTCTGCCACCGCCTCCCATTTCCCTTCCCCTCCCCCGATCAAGTCCCTCTCCCTCATCAGCTCGAAGAGCAGTCAGGGTTCAGGCTTCTTACTCTTATATCTTAAATTGACCCATAATTCTTGTCTGTGTTAGCCATGTGACTTGGTACCTTATATTAGTGAAGCATTCTCATCTTGCTTCCTCTGCATCTGGGTGATGACCATAGACTGAGTCTTTTCTCTTCCCAGAATTATCCTCTTCTGATTGCTCCAGCTATAATTCCTGCCTGGCTACTGGACAGTCATACGAGTAACAGATCTTTATAGGATACAAGATCATTGTCCTATAGTAAATCCCTGTGTAAGTCTTGTCTTGAGTTATCTTATTTGGTGGTGCTGGCATCAAACCCAAGGCAAACTAGGCACATACTAGGCAAACTGTGTATCAACTCTGGGCCTGCTCTTCTAGAAGACTGGTTGTTTTGTTTTTTGTCAAGACAGGGTTTCTCTGTAGCTTTTGGTTCCTGTCCTGGAACTAGCTCTTGTAGACCAGGCTGGCCTCGAATTGACAGAGATCCGCCTGCTTCTACCTCCGGAATGCTGGGATTAAAGGTGTGTGCCACCACTGTAGAAGACTGTTTTTGTTTCCTGGATAAACAGTGGTTTGTGATTTTATGTCTTGGTTTCTGCTTTTTTTCCTCTTCTTTCAGCATCTAGACGAGGAAGGAGACACAGATGCTTTACCTCCCCTGTTGTCCTTTCTCCTGTGTCCTCTGCAGGGTCTTTTCTAATCTGAGTTGAGAAAACCTGCTGTTAATGCACTAGTAGCCATCCGTTGTCTTACTGATGTCATTCAGCAGCTGCAGTCTTGTCTATAGACTTATTACAAACTTTGGATGTTTTTAAACAGATAATATAAAAATAGAAAAATCATACATACTTAAGGGGTACACATGCTGTTTTGATACGTATATGCATTGTACACTGTTTAAGTCTGGATAAATAAATCTACTTCCTCAAATAGTTCTCATCTTTATGGTGAAAACATTGGAAACCTTTCTCTTTAGCTTTTTCCTTTTAGATTTGTTTTTATTTTAATTATGAGTTGAAGGGTGTCTGGTGAGAGCAGGTACTCTTAGAGGTCTGAGTCAAGTGCTGGAGTTACAAGTGCTCATGAGCCCACGTGGGAGTTGGGAACTAACTCCTGTCTTCGGCAAGAGCAGTGTGCACTCTTAACTTCTGAGTCATCTTTGCAGCCCCCATCTAGCTTTTTAAAATATAGTGTATAATCATCATCTGCAATTACCCTGCTACACAATAGCACACCAGAGCTAGGAAATAACATTTTAAAACTTAATTTTTATTCTTTGTGTATGAGTGTCATGCTTGCAAATATGTCATGTGTGCGCCTTGCTTTCACAGAGCTCAGAAGAGAGCATTGGATCCTCTGAAACTAGATATTGCTGGTTGTGAATGTCCACGTGGTTGCTCTTAACTGTTGCCCTATATTTTAACATTTTAAATAAAAAGCACTTCAGTTGGTTAATTCATTTGTGCCTACATAGAAACTCACCGAATGTCTATCAAATGTACAGGATTTTTTGTTTTGTTTTGTTTTGAGACAGGGTTTCTCTATGTAGCCTTGGTTGGAACTCAATCTGTATAGACCAGGCTGACTTTGAATTTAGAGATTTGCCTGCCTTTGCCTCCCAAGTGCTGGGATAAAGGTGTGCACCACTTTGTCCAGCTGCAGTTGTACAGTTTTAAGTAAACTGAGTACAGAGATTAACAAGTTCTAATATTTGATTTCAAGGGTTTAGAAACATCGCTGTTACATAGAGAATCTCTATGAGCAAAAAAATCTAGAAAGTTATTAAAGGTTCATAATAGAATTCAGACAGGCTGGCCAGTGGTTTCGCATGCCTTTAATCGCAGCACTCAGGTGGCAGAGGCCAGCCTGGTCTACAGAGTGAGTTCCAGGACAGCCAAGGCTACACAGAGAAACCCTGTCTTGAAAAAACAAACAAACAAACAAAGAATTCAGACATGCCTCACTGAGGAAACCATCTTTTCCACTCAGAGATGGGTCAGGAAATACTTTACATAAGCTGACCTTTAGATGGTAAGTATTGGTGACAACATGGGTGAAAGAGACAGAGGAAAGAATATGAACAGAAATATGGAAGCCTAATGCAGCTGGCATATTGGTGATGCAGGATGTAGGTCACTCACTATGCCGGAACAAAGCGAGCAGGTAAGGCTAAAGAGAGTGGAGGCTGAAGCCTAGACAGCTTTGACAACTCCAACATACTTGCCTAGTTTTATAGAAGACATTCACAGGATGTGTATAACATTACTCACATGGTAATTATCAGTTACTAAGCTGCTGTCCTGTGAGTGCTGAGCATAGTGCCAGGTCAAGACTATCCATTATTTAAATGTATGATAAGATGATGGAATGTTAGCCGGGCAGTGGTGGCGCACGCCTTTAATCCCAGCACTCGGGAGGCAGAGACAGGTGGATCTCTGTGAGTTCGAGACCAGCCTGGTCTACAAGAGCTAGTTCCAGGACAGGCTCCAAAACCACAGAGAAACCCTGTCTCGAAAAACCAAAAAAAAAAAAAAAAAAAAAAAAAAAAAAAAAAAAAAAGATGATGGAATGTTCTGCTGAAGCAAGTTGAACAAATACCACACTTCTCAGGACAACTTTGCCACCTCTGGTTACTCCTTCCAGTGAATTTTTATATTGATTTTTCAACCACTGATACCTTACACACCCTTCAGTAGTTCCCAGATGACAGCCCTAGTTCACTATGTACTTTTAAGTATTGCATTCTGTTTTGTCAAAATGACAGTAAAACTGTCTTGGATCCTTAAGAATGATTTTAAGCTACATTTCGAAGCAAGAATGTCATTAAAGTTTGCAGGTAGATTTTTTTCTAAATATTTATTTTTTCTTTTTAATAATGAATGTGTGTGTGCATGCCTTTGTATGGGTGTGCATGTGTGTACAGAAACCAGAAGTGTAGAAGATGTGTAGGATTGCCAGCAGCTGCAGTTATAGGTGATTGTCAGCCACCCAATTCTGGTGCAGGGAGTCAAATTCAGGTTTTCTGAAATCATCAAGCCAAGTCTCAGTATATAGGATTTTTAGGGATGGGGTTTTGTTTGGGTTCTGCAGTTGAACTTAGACACTAGTGACTACTAAGCACACACTCTGCTTTTGAGTTGTACTCCTAACCTGTCAAGACTTAAAAGGAAACACATTTTTTTTTTGTTTAGTTTTGTTTTTTGAGGCAGGGTCTCATCATTTCTCCTAGGTGCTCTGGAACTAGCCATGTAGACCAGGCTGACCTAGAACTCATAGAGATTAGTATTCCTCTGCTTCCTGAACACCACACCTGACTAAAGGAAACATATTTAAAACTAGTAAGATTAATTCCAAAAGAACAACAAAAGGTGAGTGAAAATAAGGGACAAAGTGTAGCACAAATAATAAAATCCCAGAGACAGATACAGTGTTAATGCTAAAGATCAGAGAAACAAAACA